CCCATCTCTCTACCTGCCACGTCTCATGTACCTCGCCATTTATAAGCACTGACGTAGCAAGAGCTCAGGTCTCAGTCTCTATTTCTCAAACAGCTTCTCATCGAAGATGACAGGCCGTAGCTTGATACATCACAGGCCGAGCCATTCTAGAGTCATCAGTGACCCTCCAATCCCCCATCCAACTATACTCAAACTTGAAGAAAACCTCCACAATCTCAAATCTACCTTAAATTCTTCCTCTCCCCTAAATGCCCAAATCTTGTGTCATGCAGTGAAAGAGGTAGCAAATTTATACAGCCCCATTAATGAGCTCCTCTGCTTCCAATCTCATCACAGAAAATGGGTTGAAGAGCAACTTGATGCTTCCATCAAGTTATTAGAGTTGATTTCCTCCGCAAAAGATTTGATGGTTTTGACGAAAGAGCATGTTCAAGATCTCCGGTCGACGAACCGGAGAAAAGGCAACAATGCTTGTGAGACCTCACAGAAGAAGTTGCACAGGGAAACTAAAGTTTGTTTAAAGTTGTTGAAGCAGGTTGAAAGTAGTGCTTGTTGTGGTAATGTTAGGGATTGGGATTTGATGCGGGTGGATAGGATTTTGGTTAAAATGAAGGAGATTCTTGTTGCCCTGTTTAGATCATTGATGTGCTCGTCGTCGGTGCCGAGGCCGAGAATAAGGCGGGGTTTGCTTGCAAAGGAGGGAAGTGAAGATCAGCAACAGTTGGGGGAGTTGGAGCAAAGCATTGAAGGGTTTGAGGATGGATTAGAGTTGTTGTTCAGGAAATTGATACAAAATAGGGTGACCCTTCTTAATGTTCTTAGCCTATAGCAAGAGACGTTCGATGAGCGTAATGAGTTATATAAAAACCTGAACCTTCTGCATTTCTTTTGAATAGATTTTGTGTTCTCGTTATCAGCAGGGTTATCATGTGGGGTTGTCATACTTTGTGTTTGTAAAGTTATTACGGCTAATTTGAAAAAAAAAAGGGTAAATTACGCTAAACCTTCAGTGCAACCCCAATAACTTGTAAAACCTCAATAACTATTGAAATTCTAGAAAAAAAATTTAATTAGAATTTTTTCCCCCATTTTGGAGACAACCAACATGACGGCAGTCCACATCTAGGATCTAAATATGCGGCCGTGAGAAAATCTGGACGACATGTTACGGCATTATTTGTAAGATGCCAAATTTTATTTGGAATTTTTGGCATAGTTTTTGGTGTTTAGTGTGATTTTACAAGTTGTTGGGGGCCCATGTGAAAATGTGGACGACATGTTATGGCATTATTTGTAAAATGCTAAAATTTATTGGGGATTTTTTGTAGTTCTAATAGTTATTGGCATTTAGTGAGATTTTAGAAATTGATGGGGGTTACTACGTACAAACCTCTGAAAGTTTTTGGGGCTTAGTATACTTTACCCAAAAAATTATGAAATTACCCGCAACATACCCCCAGATTGACATTCATAAGAAAGTCAAGATGCCCTAAGCTCGGTGCTTTTATGAGATAAAACTATTTGAGAGTTTATGTGCAAAATTTTGGAATGTTGGGAGGTTTTATGAAATTTAGCCTTATAAATATAGTAACCTAGTGGCTCTTTCTTTCCGCTTTCATCGGTTTTCTTTGAAAAATGATCTGTAGCTTCTAACCAAGCCCAAAAAAATAACAGCTCATACACTATCAGGCAGAGAAGTCATCTCTATTTATTTTCTTATAAAAAATTATAGGATATGAGCAGGTGTTACATCCAAAACCTTGATAACATGGTCACCCAAGCCGAGCCCCTCGAATGCATACCCTAACCTATCACAAATTGCTAGAGATAGGATCAGATTATTGTGAACACGTGAAGTGTTTGTGGGGGCCACCCTTGCTTTCTTTCACATGACCGCGTGAAGGGATTGAGTTTTGCTGATGAAAGAAATCGGCCCATGAACGCGTTTTTCATCAGGCTATAAATAGCCATATGATTTTGCCCTAGGGTTCTGTGCGAGGTGGGTGCAAGAAAAGGAGGTTTTAATTTTTGCGGCTTGGTGTGAAAAAGCAGAGGGTGCGGCTAATCTTTTCTCTTTTGGCAGCGCGCAGGCAGCAACGACAAAATGATGCTTGGCGGCTGTGTTTGGTGAAGAAAAACGCAACAAATGGTATCAGAGCCCAGGTTTCAGATCTAGGGTTTTGGAGTTTGGTGCAGGAAGATTCTTGTGTGAAGCTTGGTTCTTGGAGTTCTAGGCTTCGGTGGAGATAGCATTAGGAGTTACCGTTAGAGATTTCGCTTTCCTCGTGTGGACAGGAGATCTATTTGGTATCCGATCTAGGGTTCAGTTGGGTGGTTCCTAATTTCTATCAATCTGTTCTTTCTCTACAATTTGGAGTTAGTTTGCAATGGGAGAAGAAGGTAAAAACAGCAAGTCGATGGCGAGTACAATACAAGTTGGTTTTCAGAACACTAAGATTAGTGTGGTGAAGTATGACGGCAAAATCAACTTTGGTTTGTGGATAAGTGACGTATAAGATGCGCTCAATGCTCAGAATTTGAAGGAGACCATCATGGTCTACGAGAGGCCACCTAAATATGAAGAGGCGGTATGGGAGAAGATGAATAGGAATGCTTGTGGGGTGATCAGGTTTTGTTTGGAACAGGAACTGAAATATGATGTGATTGGGGTGACGTCTGCAATGAAGATGTGGGAAATTCTAAACAACAAGTATCTCACAAAGAGTGTTGAGAACAGGTTGCACGTGCTGCGAAGACTCTTCAGATTTTAGATGTCCTGAGGCACCTCACTAGCGACGCAGGTGAACAACTATACTAAGTTATTGTCGGCCTTGGCAAATGTTGATGAGAAGATTTCGGATGAGTAAAATGTTATTATCTTATTGGGCTCCTTACCGGATGAGGAGTATGATACATTCATGCTCACTTTGTTAAACGGGAGATCTTCTATTAGCTATAGTGAAGTGACTAATGCATTGACCAATTATGATTTGAGGAGACAGGACAAGGAGACTTCCCGTGCTAGCACTTCAGGCGATGCCTTGTCGACGAGAGGTAGAAGCTCATATCCGAAAGGTGGTAATAGATGGAGGTCAATGTCAAGAAGCCATCACCAATTAGCAAAGAACCAATGTGCATTCTGCAAGGAGCAGGGACATTGGAAGAGAGACATCCCGAAGCTCAAGGAGAAAGAGAATGTCAAGAAAAAGGGCCCAAAGACCAATGAGGTGAATATTGCGAAAGGCGATGATTCCGATGATTCATGCTTTTCTCTACTGATTACTCTGGAGGTGAACCATGTGGATGCATCAGATTGGATGCTTGATTCTGGCGCTACTTATCATGTCACCCCTAGGCGAGACTGGTTTGCATCTTTTGAGAAAGTCGACGGGGGTGTTGTTATCATGGGGTGTTGGTGTACACCATGATGAAGAAGAGTAAAGTCCTAGATATATTTGTGGAGTGGAAAAAGAGATTAGAACTGCATACTGGTAGAAAGATCAAGACGTTGTGATCCGACAACGATGGTGAGTATACTTCTGACCCCTTTCAGCAGCTATGTCGAGACGAGGGTATTGTATTGACCGTAAAATTTTGATACTAGTTAAAATAAATTTTTGGTATTTTAAAATATTATTTTTAAAAGATTATTGTATTTTTCTTGATTTTTTAGAATTTTCTATGATTTAATGTCTAAGTTTTATATTTATTTAAGTGATTTGAATATTTATAAATTTATCTAGGGCAGTAAATATTTTTAGAATTTATCCGTTGTGTTACCGATACTATTACGTATCATTTTAAATAATACGTGATATTATTATTATTATTACGTATATTTTTGTATAATACGTTGTATTATTAATTACGTATTATTTGTATAATTTCTTGTACTATTTCTACTATTGCGTATTATTGGTCGTATTAGTACAACTGGTACGTTTTACTGTGTATATAATTATCCCATAATTATATAATTTTAAATGTAAGTAAATATATTTTTATTATTAATTATTTTCTTTTAATTATACAATATGAGTATATTTCGACAGTTTCGTATCAATTATTGTAATAGCACAACATGTACGTTTTTATTTGTAGATAATTATTATGTAATTAGTTAATTTTTTAAGTACTCATAATAATTATTTTAATTATTTTTATTTAAATACCTGAAACTATTTGAAAATAATCCTAAATTATTCTGCTTCCCGTCAAACCCCAACAACCACGTTCTCTCCCTCCTCATTTTTTTCAAAAATGACTGCTACCCACGCGCATCTCATTCATTATTTTATTTTATTTTTTTATTCATTTTTTTTCCTATTTAAACCTCACCCCTCACTGATATCATACTCAGCTCTCTCTCTTTCTCTCTCTTTCACTTTCTCTCTCTCTCTCTCTCTCTCTCTCTCTCTCGCGTTATCTCTCTCTCTCTTCCTTCATCTTTCTGTCGACCCCTCTCGCGCACGCAACCAGCCCTCAGCCCCCCCGAGTCAGGAAACACTCAATGAGAGGATAACCTCCATCGTTGACACCGCCCCAACCAAGCACATCCATCCGTCCCATAAAACGAGCCACCTCCTCTAGAGCGCGCTCAAGGCCAAAATAGAAGGCAAAAAAAAGATAAGATATGCGCCATCTCGCCCATCTCTCCTCGCCCCGCCGCCCCTGTTCGCGCACGTGCAGCGCCAAGCTCTGAGACCAGCCTCCGGCAAGTCTCCACCGACCCTCATACACCACCAACTCCTCTCCCCTCTCTCCATCAGCTCGCCCGCCTCACCATCGGTAGAGAATAAGTCCGCCCTGTGCTGCTCTCGCCAGCCTGCCCGCCTGCAGAACCACACGAGCCCATCCGTTCAGCCGCTCACGCCCCAGATCCGCTTCCGCTCCTCACCCGATACCTCCTCGTCGAGCTTAGCTCTCTGATTCCCTGACCTCTCAACCGAGCTCCAGCAGCCGCACCTCCTCTTGCACCTCCTCAGACCGTCATCACCAGCCTCGCCATGCATCGCTGCCCTCCCCACGATGTTGTCCCCATCTCATACAGTTGACGTCATTCCACCGTTGACCATCGTTTCCACCTCGAACCGCTGCACATGCCAACGAACAGTAAGTAGCGTAGTCGCCACCTCGTCCACGGGCCGTATCTTCATACGGTAACGACGTATCGATCGACAATAACTCGAGGCAAGATCGCTATTCTTGCTCAGTACAATTTCAAATTTATCATAAATTAATTATGCATAATATCTCGTCCCTCGAACAACTATCCGTTACAATTATAGAACTATCATAAACATATTGGACTGTGAACGATAACGTGTGACCATTAAAATTATAGAATTGTCATAAACCTATTGGACTGTGAACAATAACGTGTAAATGATCATGATGTAGTACATATAATGTGATGACCTATATGGATTTATTTGACGAATGATACTAAAAATAATATTTTGATAATAGATACAGTAAAGATAAAATAAGATAAAATTATTTTAGATTAGTTTATTGTTTTTTTAAGGATTTATTTGACAAAATAATCATTTTAAAATAATTATAATAAATTTTTTTGGTGAAAAATCATTTTAGAGTAATTATAATAAAACAATAGAATTTGTTTGACAAAAGAATTATTTTAGAATAATTATTATTTAAAAGAATTTATTATAGAATAAGTATCAATTTAGAATAATTTCAGTAATTTAAGAAAGTTTTATAAAAGAAATTATTTAGAACATTTATAAATATTTTTTTAAGGATTTATTTTATAAAAGGAATTATTTAGAACATTTATAAATATTTTTTTAAAGGATTTATTTTAGAAAAGGGATTATTATGAAATATTTATGATTTATGTTTCTTAATTTTAATTATTGAATATGCTATGATATTGTTGTATATGATTAGTCGCATTTATTACT